TGATGAACAAATTAATGAAGACACTACCAGCAAAACTCTGCTCCTGTAGTTACAAATACAGGTGATTACAAATAAGTACAGTAGTTACACAAAGTGCAGAAGTGTGCAAGGAGGCTTGTACCTGAATTAAAAGGCATGAGTAATGAGGAGAGGCTAATTAACTTTCAGAGGGTCCGTCCCGTAGTTCTACGGCTTTGAAGCCTGGGTTCAAGCCATAGTACTACGCCATGAGCTCAGCTCACTCAGATAAGCTGTGAGCAGTAAATCTGGCCTAGATATGAGAGAATGCATCTATGGAGTAAGTGTGCACCATATAAAACAAATCCTGCAGCACGCAGTGCATAATGAGAATAAAAGAAATGTGACCGTGTTTTTGGATTAACCCGTAAACGATCCAAATGTATATATACGTTTTTACCGCTAGTGCCCCAAACGTATATACATATACATTTTATTTGTCATACTTTCAACATTGATACAATAAGCCTGAGTCGCCTAGACATGAGAGAATGGGTGTGCGCACTCACTGTACGCCATATTAAAATAACTGGGGATGCCTGGGTACCATATGCTCTTTTTTCCTAATAAAAAAAAAACTATTTTTTTTTCTCAGAAAAGTTGGGGCACTACGGGAGAGAACGTATATATACGTTTGGACCGTTTACGGGTTAAAACAGCGACTTTGCGGTGTATTTTTGTAAGTTTTTTACAGTTGTATTCACAGTTTCTTGGTCTCATTTGATAGAATTAAAGATATGTTATAGAAATAGAGATGATTTTGATTGGGTTTAGCACTGAAAATGGCTTGAAACTGAGCTCAAAATAGCGGAAATGTTTGATCTTTGTTCACTTTCGAGGGTAAACAAATCACATCGCATGTCCAATACACATCAGTTGGTGGGTCTAATGTGCGTTCACAGATGTGCTGATATTATTTACACAATTATTACAATATTGCATAACAATATTTTATGGTGCAAATAAAAATTCATTATGTGAATAAAAAATCAAAGTGGAATTCATTTGTAAAGCCTGGAAACATAACTAAAAAACAGAGTAAATGCTATTTTAGTGCCATGAATGCCTGCATTGTTCATTCTGGACATTATTTTGAAATTGGAATATTCTGGACTTTGTGTGAAATTGGCCAAATTACCAATTTCCCATCACTTTATTGGGTAATTGAAATAGTTGACTGGGCAATTTCTTGTGCTCAGTCAATAAAATAGAAGTAATATTAGCAAAATAACTAAGAATTTGGTTGACTGGAATAATGTAATTGGCCTAAAATGGAAGTCAAGTGGGTAAAATTGCCGATGCACAGATATCACTGACACAGCAAAATTCGCAAGAGCGTAATTTCGTCAAATTTCCATCAAATTTTGTACTTTTTGTTTTATTACCTTCAGAAAAAGATTCTCTACCATTTCATAAGGATTTTTTTTTTTTTTTTAATTCTTAGACCCTGTGGACAAGTTTCAGATCAGGGGTCTGGACCCTCAAAGGGTTAAATTGTATCTAGCAACAATGGAGAACAGAAGAACCAGGGAAGACATGATAACAGTCTGTATAAAATAGTCAAGAGAACTGATATAAAAGGCAGGGACAGGCTATTCGAGGCAAGAAAATGGGAACTCTAAAGACATACAGGTTAAAGACACAAATGAGCCACAGGGATGTTACACAGAGTTGTCAGGTAGGGGAATGATCTTGACGAGGAAGCAGTGGTGACAGGCTCAATGCATAGTTCTAAGAACAGGTACAATAGGGCCCACAAGGCTGCAAGAAGTGAACCTGCAGAGTGGCAAGTTAGGAAGCAGGGGCTAGGATCTGAGAACAAACCCCTGTAACCACAAATGGGCAAGTACACAGAGGTGAGTGTACACACACAGACACACAAAACTCAAGACTCCATTACAAATACATCATAAGCAGCACATTGAAGAACAGAGATGATAAACCACTTTGCCATCCCTGCCATAGTACTACAGGTTTGAGGAGAGAGAATGGGCCTATGTGGTAGTGCACCATATAACAAAATCCTGCGGCATGCAGTGAAAAACGAGAACAAAAGACTGCTGCGACTGTTTCTGGTTTAAAACAGTGAATCTGCAGTGTACTTTTGCATGGTTTTTATGGTGTATTTCCATTTTCTTGGTCTTGTTTCATTGAATGAAGATGTATTACTGAAATAAAGATAATTCTGATTGGTTTCAGGTCTGAAAATAGCTTGAAATTAAGCTCAAAGTAGCAGAAATGTTTGATTTTTGCCAATATTCCTGAGTACACAAATTACGTCACTTGTCCAATCCACACCTAACTGGACGGTCTAATACTGTACATATCTACAGATCTGCTGGCATTATTTATAATTACAATAATGCAGTAGTCTGCATAACAGTAAATCTATTTTTTGTGTGAACGAAGATTCAAAATGAAAAGCAAGCGTAATATAGGAAAGGCCTGAGGATGTGACTAAAGAGCATAGAAAATGTTTAGT